CCCTCACTCAAGTGCCAAAGGAAGTAGAGCTCCCTTGTGGACACCACCCCCGAGCTATCCCCCCTAGCAAACGTCGTGTTTGCTATAGTGCGCTGTGAAAGTCTGAATGCAGGGTGGATAATGGCGGTGGCCTTATCGGACCTAGGGTTGTACTCAAAAGCCCCCGAGATTCTTCTCCAAAAATCTCCCGCATTATAGCCACGGGGTTGCCTATCCTTAGGTCCGATGGTTCCGGTTGTGGGCCACCCAAAAGCTTGGTTAACTCTAGCTATAGTCATTTTGTGATATGTGTTCATGAGTTGGAAGGTTATGTAGCGGGGGGTCCTCGTGGTGTCCCGATGCACATAAAGGGTGGAGAGGAATTCAAGGGTTAGTCTCCTATATGTTTGGGCATGTAATTGTAGCCAAGAACCTAAGTCGGTACCCTCAAACAACATCCTAACATCGTCACCCACCCCTAGGGCATTGGCTACCTCTTCATCGTAAAACTTAGTGGGTCTAATTTGCCTCCTACTATTCCTAAGAAAGTTGGCCGAAAAGGCCGGGTCATTGAAAATTATTCCCATTGTATCCACTTGAGGTGGAGCAACGGGAGGAGGAGGTGATGGGTTCCTAAGTCTAGCGGAGGAGGTGTTTCTTGGGCGGTTTCTTCTTGACATGTTTGGTTCTTATGCAAAACAATTAAACACGCCACAAAAATTAAAGTCACCACACCAAACAATTCAAGGCTTAATCAACACCAACACAACACCACACAAATCACGTAGGGGCTCTAAGTACACCACCTATGATCAAGTTTAATCAACACAAAAACAACCAAGATGGTCTTCACTATTTCAATTCACAACAATTTAACACCAAGGGTTGAAAAACTCATGCATTTATGTCAACAATTCATCACAATCAAAAACACAACTAGGCTAGCATGCTCTTCATTCACCAAATAAAATCCTCCAAATTCTACTCACTTACAAACACCAAATTTTCACAAAATTCATAACACACTATCAATGTCAACAATGCTTAACATATATCAACAATTATTCCCTAACTACCAATTCAAACAACTTTTCAAGCAAAATTAAGCACAAAATATCAAGATTGTAAGTATGGAAGTAGTGAGTAGAAAGAACGATTATACCGGGTCTAACGTGGGTGTAAAACCCGCAAATGAACTTTTCTAACCTTCCTTGTGCTTGCTTGAGCCTCCTTATTCAACCAATTGCTTTGATTTTCAACCCACAAGAAAACCCCCAATTTGATTTGTTTGTTAGGGCTTGAAAAATTTGGGTGTTTTTTTTTTGGGTTTAAATATGGAGAATGGAGTAGTATTTTGTAAATTTGTTGAAAAGGAGTGAGATTTTTGATGAAAAATGTTGAATGTGGGTGAGAATTTGAGTGTTTGATGGAGTTTAAGAGGAGGAGGAAGATGGAGTTTAGAGAGAGAGAGGAGAGAGAATCGTGAGGTTGAGAGTGAGAATTTTTTTTTTATGCTGTCAAACCTGCTGAATTGGGCCTTATACTGGGGCTGCACAGACGTGCAGGGTTGGCACGGACGTGCAGCTTCATTCAGAAGCGCTACTAGTTTCTGCCTTCGACAGCACGGACGTGCAGAGTTAGGCACGGTCGTGCCACTTAAGTTGCACGGACGTGCGGGTATTGAACGGACGTGCAGCTCCAGCCAGAATAGTTGACAGTTTCTGTCTTCCAGTGCACGGACGTGCAGACTCCAGCACGGACGTGCCACATAGTTTGCACGGCCGTGCTGAGTTGGCACGGACCTGCAGAAACTCAAATTTCAATACTTCGATTTTCTGCTGCTTCTGCTCTCATCTGCACGGACGTGCGGTGTTTTGCACGACCGTGCAGAGCTGATGGTGCACGGTTTCCAGCTTTTTTTTTTTATTATTATTATTATTATTATTATTATTACTTCTCTTTTCAATAAATACCTACAAAAGATAAAATAAAAAAGTTAGTAATAATAGAAATAAAACAAATGAAATAATAATATTTGAGAGAGAATGAGGAACTCGGGTTGCCTCCCGGAAGCGCTTCTTTAACGTCACTAGCTTGACGACATTGCGAGATCAAATGTTAGTGAGGAATATCGAACTCATCAAGGTGAACAACTTTTTCCTCTTCATTCACAAAACCGTCAAAGTACGCCTTTAACCTTTGGCCATTTACTTTGAACGGTTCACCATTTTCCTTGGAAATTTCGATTGCACCATATGGGAACACCTTCTTGACGGTAAAAGGTCCACTCCATCTTGATTTTAGCTTACCCGGAAACAACTTCAACTGGGAATTGAATAGTAGGACCTTGTCACCTTCCTTGAACTCCCTTTTGTTGATATGCTTGTCATGCCAAGCCTTGGTCTTTTCCTTGTAGATCCGTGCATTCTCATATGCATCCAATCTTAGCTCTTCCAAGGCATGGAGGTCAAGCAACCTCTTTTCACCGGCACTTTGAAGGTCAAAGTTCAACGTTTTAATAGCCCAATGAGCACGATGCTCAAGTTCTACCGGTAAATGGCATGATTTCCCATATACAAGCTTGTAAGGGGTGGTGCCAATTAGAGTCTTGAATGCGGTGCAGTAAGCCCATAGAGCATCATCTAGCTTCGTAGACCAATCCTTTCTAGACCTATCCACCGTCTTCTCTAAAATCACCTTTATCTCCCGGTTTGAAATTTCGGCTTGACCACTTGTTTGAGGGTGGTAAGCCAATGACACCTTGTGCCTCACACCGTACTTCCCAAGAAGAGCTTGGAAGGAACGCTTTGCAAAATGCGAACCTCCATCACTAATGACAGCACGTGGCACCCCAAACCTCGGAAAAATGACCTTCTTGAAGAGTTTGACCACCACCTTAGCATCATTAGTAGGAGATGCAACCGATTCTACCCACTTTGACACGTAATCGACGGCCACAAGAATGAATTTATTCCCAAAAGAGGTCGGGAAAGGCCCCATAAAATCTATGCCCCATACATCGAAAATCTCCAACTCAAGAATGTTGTTCAACGGCATTTCACTTCTTCTTGAAATATTGCCGGTCCTTTGACACTAGTCACAAGCTTTCACTACACCCCACACATCTTTGAACATTGAAGGCCAATAGAAACCACATTGTAAGATCTTTGCCAAGGTTTTGTTAGCACTCATATGTCCTCCACAAGGTGAGGAGTGACACATTGTGATAACACTTTCAATCTCATCATTTGGGACACACCTTCTAAAAAGGCCATCAACACCTTGTTTAAAGAGCAAGGGGTCGTCCCAAAAGTATTGGCGAACATCATGAAGAAACTTCCTTTTTTGTTGATAGGTGAGGTCGGGAGGAAGAATAGAGCAAGACAAGTAGTTTGCAATGTCCGCAAACCATGGTGCCGGTGCTTGAAGGATAGCAAATAGTCGATCATCCGGAAATGAATCATCAATTGGCAAGTTATCAAAATCACCTACAAAGATAGGCAACCGTGAAAGATGATCGGCCACAACATTTTCGGCACCCTTCTTGTCTCTAATCTCAATATCATAATCTTGCAAGAGCAAGACCCACCGTATCAATCTTGGCTTAGGTTCTTTCTTGGACAAGAGGTACTTCAAGGCCGCATGGTCGGTGAAGACTATGACCTTAGAGCCCAACAAGTAGGACCTAAACTTCTCAATTGCATGAACAATGGCTAGAAACTCCTTTTCTGTGGTTGTGTAATTCCTTTGTGCCTCATCCAATGTTTTGCTAGTATAATAGATAGCATGCAGATTCTTGTCCTTCCTTTGTCCAAGAACGGACCCAACGGAAAAATCCGAAGCATCACACATAAGCTCGAAAGGAAGCTCCCAATTAGGGGGTTGAATGATAGGAGCCGAAATCAAGGCCTCCTTTAACCTATCAAATGCTAGCAAAAAATCATTAGTAAACACAAAAGGGGCATCTTTTACCAACAATTGAGTGAGCGGCTTTGCGATTTTTGAAAAATCCTTTATGAACCGGCGGTAAAAACCCGCATGTCCAAGAAAGCTCCTTATCCCCTTCACATTTGTAGGGGATGGGAGGCGCTCAATTACTTCAATCTTGGCACGATCTACCTCAATTCCCCTACTAGAAATCACATGACCAAGAACAATTCCCTCCTCTACCATGAAATGACATTTCTCCCAATTCAAAACTAAGTTCACCTCTTGACATCTTTTTAACACTTTAATCAAATTTGAAAGACAAGTGTCAAAAGATGAACCAAAAACAAAAAAGTCATCCATGAATACCTCAATTGATGATTCAAGCATGTCGGAAAAAATAGACACCATACACCTTTGAAATGTGGAAGGTGCATTACAAAGCCCAAATGGCATTCTTCGATATGCAAAGGTGCCAAAAGGACATGTGAATGTAGTCTTTTCTTGGTCCTCGGGTTGGATTGGGATTTGAAAGAATCTCGAGTATCCTCCAAAAAGCAATAATGACTATGTGATCCTAGTCTTTCCAATATTTGATCAATGAAGGGGAGTGGGAAGTGGTCTTTCCAGGTGGATTTATTCAATTTTCGATAATCAATGCACATCCTCCACCCGGTGACCGACCTCGTGGAAATGGTCTCACCCTTATCATTTTTTATGATGGTCATGCCTCCCTTTTTAGGCACAACTTGAACCGGGCTAACCCACTTACTATCGGAGATAGGGTAGATTATGCCCGCCTCAAGAAGTTATAAAACTTCTTTTTTCACCACTTCCTTCATATTGGGATTAAGCCTTCTTTGGTGCTCAATCGAGGAAGCATGATCATCATCAAGTAGAATTTTATGCATGCATATGGTGGGACTTATCCCCTTAATGTCATCAATTTTGTACCCAATGACATATCTATACTCCCTTAAAACAATTAGGAGTTTCTCAAGAGAGGTGTCATCGAGCTTAGCATTGACAATAACGGGATAATTCTCACTATCATCAAGAAAAGCATATTTAAGTAGAGGGGGAAGGGGTTTAAGTTAAACCTTAGGAGGAGGCGTAGTCCTCTCCTCTTTTGCCTCCACGTTAAGCACTTCAAATTTCATCACCTCGTGGGCCAAAGGTTGGTTGAGCAAGAGATCATACCCCTTTGCTTCTTCCCCCTCATCAACTAAGCTTCCCGTTAGGGTAGCTTGTAAAGGATCACTTTCATACAATCTTTCTCGGAACTCTTCTAAGTCCCTCTCCAATGTGTCAATTCTATGAACCTCATCAATCAATGGCTTTTTCAAAGTTTGTGAGAATGAGAATGAAATTTTCTCATCTCCCACATTCAAAGTCAATCTTCCTTCTTTCATATCAATCACCACTCCCGCGGTGTTCAAAAATGGTCTCCCCAAAATGAGGGGTACTCTTGAATCTTCTTCCATCTTCATTACTACAAAATCACATGGCACAAATACTCTTCCAACTTGAACTGGCACATCTTCAAGAATCCCCAAAGGTAGCCTAACCGTGCGGTCGGCTAGTTGTAAGGACATTCTTGTTGGTTTCAAGTCTCCAACTTTCAAGCTCTTTGCAATATAATAGGGCATCAAGCTCAACCTTTCCCCAAGATCACATAAAGAATTTATAGCTTCCAAATCTCCAATATTCACCGTTATTGCATAGCTACCGGGGTCACCAAGCTTTTGGGGAAGCTTGTTTTGAATGATTGCACTCACCTCCTTAGGAAGGGAGATGGTTGCACTCTCTTCAAGCCTACTCTTTTTGGATAGAAGATCCTTCAAAAATTTTGCATAGGTAGGCATTTGTGACATAGCATGAAGAAAGGGGATGTTCACTTGAAGTCCTCTCATGAATTCAAGAAATTTTGAAAACTTCTCATTCAACTTCTTCTCTACAATTCTATGAGGAAATGGAATGGGGGGCTTATATACTCTCATAGGGGGCTTTTCTACTCTTTCTTCATATCCCTCATCTTTCTTTGTGGCTCCCTCATCACTCTTTTGCTCTTTTCTCTCAACTTCAACTACTTCATTTTCAAAATCATCCTCACTTCTCACCACAACTCCCTCATCTCTCTTTTGTGGCTCCTCTTCACTCATAACCGGGCCCTCATAGCCTCTTCCCGATCTTAAAGTAATAGCCTTATCTTGCTCCTTTGGGTTCACTATCGTTGAGCTTGGACAATGACCACTAGGATTGGAGGATGAACTTCCAACTTGTTGTGCAATTTGAGCCAATTGACTCTCCATTATTTTATTATGTGCTTGGAGTTGTTGGATGTTTGCATTCATATCCGCATTGTTCCTTATTTGTTGAGTCATGAAAGTTTCAAGAACGGACTCAAGGCTAGTCTTTTGAGGAGGTGGAGGAGGAGGAGCGGGTTGGTTATATTGTGATCTTTGGTGGTTTTGATCCCTTTGGTTGGGATGGCGGTATGGAACTTGTTGGTTTTGAGAATGAGGTTGGTTGTAGTGGTTTTGAGGTTGGGTTTGATTTTGGTTGTAGTTATTTTGTGGGGGGCCTTGGTTGTATTGCTTCCATCCCGTGTTTTGTTAGGGCTTCCAACTTTGATTGTGGGATTGGGAGTATTGTTCATTCCTTTGCCCAATTGCCGCCGCTTGCTCTTGATTCGTTGAGTTGCAATAAGAGGACAAGTGATCATTTCCTCCACAAGTCTCACAAGACATGACTTGTGAGGAAGAGCTTGAGGGTGTGAGGGTGGCTTGATCTAACTTGTGAGCTAGCATATCAAACTTTGATGCAATAAGATCTATTGCACTAAGATCATGAATTCCGCCCTTCTTTGTTTGAGGTTGCCTTCTATCACCTCCATATGCATAATGCTTGGCCACTTCTTCAATCATCTTATATGCATCATCCACCGATAGCTTTTTGAAGCTACCACCGGCCCCCGAATCAAGGTTGGCCCTTGAAATAGGAGTAAGACCATCATAGAAGCTTTGTACAAGGATCCATGATGTAAAACCATGGTGGGGGCATTTCCTTGTGTAATCTTTGAAACGCTCCCAAGCTTCACCCAATGTTTCATCAATGTCTTGATTAAAATTGGTGATCTTTCTTCTTAATTCGGCGGTCTTTTTCGGAGGAAAATACTTTCCAAGAAAGGCTCTAGTGACTTCGTCCCATGTACTCAATGATCCCTCTTCAACCGTTCTCAACCAATGTTTTGCTTTATCACGGAGGGAGAATTGAAACATGTGCATACGGATGAACTCTTCCGAAATGTTGTTTTTCTTGATGGTTGTACACAACTCAAGAAAGTTGTCCAAATGAGCAAAAGGACACTCATGAGGACTACCTCCGAATTGATCGCTTTGAATCATACGGATGAGTTGAGGTGAAAGTTCAAAGTTGTTTGCATTTGTGGTGGGAAGACGTATGCCACTCCGAAGTTGGAATGCGTTGGGGTGGTCATAGTCTCTTAACAATGGTTGAGGAGGATTCTCTCCCATGTTATCTTCTTCGTTAGCTCCAAAAACCTCTTCCGGATCGGAATCCGAATATACAATGGAAAACTCGGGTGTGCCTTGCAAGAGTCTCCTCACGTTTCTCAAAGTCCTATTTAGCTCTGGATCAACGGGAATAAGCGGTGATTGCTTACTCTTTCGTGTCATGCAAAGTCAAACAAAGCTAAGAAAAACGTTAGCAATGACTATCGCAAGTTAAACACACATAAACTAAAATTAAGGTAAGAAAACTACTATACATATACACACATCTAGTCTCATTCAACAATAATACATTCAATGTGACTTTGCCTCCCCGGCAACGGCGCCAAAATTTGATAGGCAGTCGTCGAGCCTGCCAAAGATAATAATTCCTATCTTGGTCTCACTAACTAGTAGCAAGGGTAAGAAAGGGTCGAACCCAAGAGAGGCGTTGAATCAACCACCGAGTACTACCGTTTAAATAAGCTAAATGAATTCTAAATTGGGTTGGTTATGAATAACTTCTTCTAATTCAATTCAACTAAAGCTAAGAGGAGATTAACAATATTATGAGGAATCTAAGGCTTGGGTTATACCACTCAATTTCATCATAAATCACGATTAGCATGCAACAATCAAGGTAAATTAATGGGATAAATTAGGGGAAGTCATCTAAAGCACCCAACTACTCTCTCAAGCTAGAGGGATTACTTGAATCATGAATACAACCTACTCTTGTGGTTACATAGCATAAAACAAGTGTTAAAGCATAATCACGATGACATAAACATTCCCTTGACCGGTAATCCCTATTCTCATGGCATTTCGGGTCAATCAAGCATAAGGGAGCTGACTCAAGTTCATCTCTCGATCCTTCGTTGAGAAAGCTTGGATAAATAGTTCTAGCAATGGCCATATACAAGAACTAAGCAATTAAACCACTTAAGCTCAACTAATTAACATCCCACAACAACCAAATTAACACATGCAACAAGTAATTAGTGACTACATTGAGGGTTTTGCCCAAACCCTAGAATTTAGACTACTCACAATCCATGGAGGTTAAATCAATTAAAGATTTCAAGCAATTCATGAACAAGTTCAAACTAAAGATTAAGCTAATTAACAATCTAAACATGCAAGAACTAGCAAATAATTAACAACAAAGTAAAGAGAAGTAGAAAAGATGAGTAAGAAGTGGTTACTATGAAGCTTCAAAGTGAGCAACAATGGTGGATTTTGTCTTCTACAATGATTGAATTTGAATGTTTCCAAGCTAATAATTGAGAACTAACTAATGATTTGAGAATTTAATGTTCTAAGACTACAAACTAAGAGGGAAGCTCTAAAAAAACTGCATCCTCGTACAAATGAGCTCAAAGGGGGTATTTATAATACCCCCAAATAAAAAGGACGGAGAAAACAAGAATCAGGCTTGACTGCAGGTCTGCACGGACGTGCCGGGTTTCGCACGGACATGCAGACCAATCTACACGGACGTGCTGCCTTACGCACGGCCGTGCAGGGCATGGCAGAAGGTACTGCTTAGTCTTGCAATCTTGCACGGACGTGCCAGTTATGGCACAGACGTGCAGCCTCTTCTACACGGACGTGCCAACTTAAGCACGGCCGTGCAGGCCTTGGCAGAATGTTCTAAGTTTCTGAAGCACTCCTGCACGGACGTGCAAGGTCTGGCACGGCCGTGCAGCCTCTTGGCAGAATGATGAAACTTTCTGAAACCTCCTGCACGGACGTGCAAGGTCTGGCACGGCCGTGCAGGGTCTTCTAAGCCCTTTTTTCATCTTTTCTTATATATTGCTCCTTTCCTTGGCTTCTTTCAACCATCTTCTTGCTTCTAACCTCGGCTTTGTATCCATGGGCTCCATTTGGCCGTTCTTTTGAACCTAGAATCTCAACAAAAACACCAACAACCCGTGAAGCATAGGATACACAAAAATTGCATAATAATAGAGTAAAAATGAACCAAAACGTAAATTTTATCAAGTAAACTAGATTCAAAACACCCTAAAATCATATCAAATAGCAAGTTATCAGCTACTGATAAGGTTGGAGGAACTACCGGTATCTATGAGGATTCGGCCAACTCTTTGGTTGGCCACTTTGCATTCAACAACAATTGGGTCGTCATGCGGCCCCCTTACCCCTCCTAAATCTTCTTCTGTGATAACAATTTCAGGGAACGAATTTTTGGAGGGCTGTTCTTGGTGAACAGAATTGACGTCTAGCCGCCTGATATTGTCTTTATTGCCCCTGATGGTGGGGCCGCCTCCTGAGAAGCCGCCTGCTATTGTGTAGACGACTGCATCATCTGTATCAGAACTGTCGGCCTGTTGGTTCTTTTTGGCTGACTTCTTATTCTTTGAGGAAGTATTCCCCTTAGATTTCTTGACATAGGAGTCAAGGTCTCCTTGTTCAGCTAGGCGGTCTAGGTACCGCATGAGACTGATGCATTCGTTGGTTTCATGACCAACGTCTTCATGATAATGGCAGAATTTTTCTTGGTTCCGGTTGCTCGCAGAACCCTTCATGGGTGCCGGCTTCTCAATTGAGATTCGTCCCTTGATTTCTTTTAGGATAGCTTGGCTATCCTTGTTGAACGCATACTTTAGGGAGTATGGTTTGAATTCTTTCTTCTTCTTCTGGGCCGGCTGTTTAGAGGAATCAGCCGCCCAGACCTCTTTTCTCTTCTTATCATCTTTGTTGGACGACTGCTTTTGTCGGACTTCTTTTTTGTCGGACCTCCTTCCGTCCGACTGCTTTCCAGTACTACATAGATCAGTCGCCTGTATATAAGCTTCTGCTTCGATCAAGACTTCTTGAAGAGTCGCCACCCTCTTTCGAACCAAGTCAAACTTGAAGGTCGACCCGTCCTTGAGACCTCTAAAAAAGTCAGTATAGGCCACCTCATCCGGTAGCCCCTGGATCTGTATCCTCATCAAGTTGAACCGCCTGATGTAGGAACAAAGCCCCTCCTTCTCACCCTGCTGAATCGTCCCTAGGTCAAGAGTCGTCTTCTTTGCAGGTATGTTCATGGCAAAATTGGAGGTAAATAAGTAAGCAAGCATCCTAAAGTTGTTCACACAACCAGTCGGCAGGTTGCCGAACCATTGCTGTTCAATTCCTTTGAGAGTTGTTGGGAAACACTTGCACCAAGTGGGGTCATCCAACCCTTGGAGATACATTAGGTTGGTGAACTCCATCAAATGGTCTTCAGGGTTAGTAGTGCCGTCATAGGCGCCTACTAACACATTTTTAACTTTGGCCGGTTGAGCGGCTTCAGTAATTTCCTTGGAGAAAGCCGACGGCTGTTCTCCAAGTCTGAGCAACCGTAGCTGTCAGTCCAAAGGTTGGACATTTTTTGCCGCTTGTCCTCCAAACAGAGGTGGCTGCAGAAAATATTGTTGTTGCAGTACAAATGGTAAGTTTGGTACCGCCTGGTCGTTATGAAATCCAGACCGACGGGAGGTACCGTCTGTCTGACTTTCATGATTGGACTGAGTATACCTCATAGAGGTATTGCGCAGACTATCTTGAAAATCTGAAGTAGAGGCCGACTCTGACAGTCGGTCGTTCTTCTTCTGCTCAAGCAATGACAGCAATTGGGTCGTCATGCGGCCCCCTTACCCCTCCTAAATCTTCTTCTGTGATAACAATTTCAGGGAACGAATTTTTGGAGGACTGTTCTTGGTGAACAGAATTGACGCCTAGCCGCCTGATATTGTCTTTATTGCCCCTGATGGTGGGGCTGCCTCCTAAGAAGCCGCCTGCTATTGTGTAGA